GGAATGGAGAGAACTCAGTTGCTTCAGCAAATTGCCGCCATGAGACAAGCTCTATTCGATGAGGTTTTTGATGAACCCTAATCTCTTCTTAATTACATATAATGATGTGTAATTACCCATAATTTATTTATTTATTTTTGTAGGGAATTCTAGTAAGCATTTTACTTATCTTGAAAACGTAGATGAAAATGGTAACCCTAATTTTGTTGAAGATACCACTGGATTATTTTTCAGGGACTCTGCCAACATGCTGGCTACCATTCAGCGGACTTTGTTAGTTTAGAACAATATTTAATTATTTGATTAATTATATAATTAATAGTGTAATTTCATTTTCTGTTTTTGTGTTGGGAGAATTCTTCAGTTGATTTCATGAAGTTGGATAAGTTCTTTTATAAGCTAAAAGGAAGCAGTGGTAGGTAAGTTGAATTAAGAGATAAAAAAAAGGTTTAAATTATTAATTAAACTAATTAAGATAATTTAATTGCGATTAAGTTATTATTTTTATTTATATAATATATTTATATTTATATATGCAGCGTTGGTGCCATCAGAGTGAAGAATGAAGTAAATCGAACGAAAGAATATTGCAAACAATCATGGGTGATTATGGACTGATTAATTTCATAATTAAAATTATTAACAGTGCAAAGGCAGCTTTCCAACAACTGAGAAATGAGCATAACATTCTCGGGCTAGGCTTGATTCTTACTTACAGGTACTGAGACAAGCTGATTCTTCTTCTGATGAAAGTTAGGCTAAACCAAACTGAAGAAATCAATGAAGAAAATGGACAGAAGCAGCAGTGTTTTTGATGGATATTTAGTTGCATAATTAATCACTAAATTTTGTTTTCATTTCTGCTTTGGTTAATTAAGTTCCAAAGTGTTTAAACTTGAATTTCCATTTGGAATAAAGTGTGGTTTGATATCTCTAGCTCCATATATACCCACAATTAATGGAAATACAATACAATATATACCAATAAATTAAATGTCGAAAAGAGAACAGTACTTGGTGTGTGTGTATATATATTATATATATGAGTAATACTACGCTGACAAATATTTTTCATTAACTTAATTTCTTTCAAAATAAGTTTCATCTGCCAACAATGGATCCTACCTAACAAAATACGAACGAACTGATTACGAACTATCACATCGAATTTATGAAAGAAAGTGATCAAATCCGTCATCAAAGGCTTTGAGGTTAGAGGCTGAGATGGCAAGAATAGTCCCTTTTGTTTTTGCATTTGGTTGTTGGTTAAGAAGAGAGATAGTTGATTTCTTTTATGAATTTTTTTATAAACTTTTTTTACTCAAATTCAGAAGAGCCGTTAGATTAAATTTAGATAAAGGGTGGATAATTTTTTCTCATTTTAAGTCAATAGTTTTTGTTATAATAATCTGATCCATAACTATATATAAAAATATAAACGAAGAAACACAACTCTATTAGATGAAAATTCTCACGTATATACATGAAAATCTGGATTTCTGAAATTTATTTAATGTTTTTTTATGAACTAACCTGGTGCAATTAAAGCCCCAACCAAAAAATTTAAAAAAAAAAAAAAAATTTTGAGGAAATAAGAGGAAAATTTTGATATTCATGGATCCTTTATACAGTCTCTTGAACCTCCGATCATCGTCCCTGCCCAGTTCTTCCCATCTGCAAATCCAACCGTAACATTTTCACATGAGAAACTCGTTCTCAACCTTTTTATTGTTTTTGTTTCATCTTCAATAATTTGCAGAACTAGAGCATTCACTTTTATATTAAAGTTGATTGCACCAAGCGACCAATCCGAAACCATAGTCTCCAATGGAGGTGTTTAAATAGCCTGAAGAGACACCGATATTTGCCTCCACAAGGTGATCAAAGTTCGCAAAGATAGGTCTTATCGCTGCGGAGGAAAGAATCGTGTCCTTGTAGAAAACCGAAGCCTGAACATCATGAAGGTAAATAGAAGCGGTATCTTAAAAGAAAGAGTTTTTCACAGAGAAAAAGAAAGAAGTATTCCAGTAGGCAGTTATATGTGAAGAGGAGACGTTGAAGGGATAGAGAATCACTGAATCAACATGGCAATTTGGTAAAGCGGGAGGATGTTTTCCAAATTCGCCATAAATCATAAAAATAAAGTAGCTAACAGGAAATGCGCCAAGAAGGATTATAAGACATATATTGACGCGCGGGTTTTAGGTAGTCGACGGCCGCGGCGGCGGTTGGGTTAGAGATTGGTAAGGGGGTGTATGGATTGCATCATGGACGGAGGAGGCAATGACTGTGTTTGCTTGTTGTTGATGAGCCCCCATTGATTATAAGGGTTTGATGGGAAATTGTTGAAGAATTGGGGATAGAGAATTGTATATATAGAATGAATAGAAGAGCAAAAACAAATGATTTAATCAGGAATTAATTAATGGATACTTCTTTTATATAGGAGCCAACCACTAATTATACTCAAACTGGGATTCCTTCCTAATTCTATTCAAACTAAGAATCCTACCAGTAGTCATATCAAAACTATAACAACTCCTATTTTAACTAGACTTGTAATAAAAACTAACAAGCTTAGTTTAATAACTAACACTAGAGAGCCGGGAAAATGAAATAAAAATACAATTTCAAGTTTAAAATGAATTAAATAGTTATAAAGTTTGAAACTTTTTACTAAATGATCATCGCTTAAACGATATAAGTTTATTGCTTAAGCAATGTAAGTTTGTCTATAAGTTTATCTCTTAAATGATATGTTTCAATTGCATTTAAAACTTCATGACTATTTAATTCATTCAAAACCTGAAATGGTGTTTTAATAGTATGCCCCTCTAACAGTCTCCCTTAAACTAAGCTTCTATAAATCATTAGAACACTATCCATGAATGGTCTTCTTGCCAACCATAGCAATTAACCATGACCACTAAAGTCTTCCTCATCCTCGTTGATTTTTGCTGAACTTATTTCTTCCTAATTCTATTCAAACTCAGAATCCTAGTACTAGTCATATCAAAACTATAACAACAACTATTTTAACTAGAATGAATAAATTAGACTTGTAATAAAAACTAACCAAGCTTAGTTTATTATCTAACACAGCCAGGAAAATGCAATAAAAATACCATTTCAAGTTTGGATTCTTTGGAATGAAGTAAATAGCCATAAAATTTGAAACTCTTTACTAAATGACCATCACTTAAGCGATGTAAGCTTATTACTTAAACGATGTAGGCTTGTCTATAACCTTATCTCTTAAGCTATATGTTTAAATCGCTTAAACGATATTGTATTTGAAACTTCATGACTATTTAATTTATTCCAAACTTGAAATGGTGTTTTAATAATCTGTCCCACTAACAGCCTCCCTTAAACTAAGCTTTTGCAAATCATTAGAATACTATCCATGTGTGGTCTTCTTGCCAACCATAGCAACCATGACCACTATAGTCTTCCTCGTCGTCGTCGATTTTGCTCAAGTTATTTCTTGGAGGCACTTGCATGATCTTCTCCTTTGAAGTTTGAACTATGTACAATTTTTTCTTGATTTTGGAGGCACTTGCTGAATCTATTGCTGAGTCAGTATCTCTTAAATTGTAGAAATTTTGGGGTGTGATTGTAATAAATGAAAATTGGAGAAATTTTGGGGTGTTATTGTAAAAAATGAAAATTATAGTGAACACAAAACAATAACAGGTACCCCCCATAAGATAGGGTACGGTCCTATTTTTCACACGTTTAAAACCGGCTCTTTAGACCTGTATTCGCATCCGTTAGACCCGACGTGTACACACCCAGGCCGCCTATTTGCCAGGAGACCGTTGGCTCTTAAAATTTTCGGTGGCCTACTTCCACGGTTCCACCCCTCCCAAAAACCTCCTACCCACCACCCCTGCACATCGCAGCCCCCCATGCTTCACGCAGAATCCCACCCGATAGCCACCACAAAACACCGCTGTTCACCAAAGAACTAAACCCCACCCATCGCAAACCACTATAAACAGCCGGCACCCACAAGCAAATCACCAGTACCACTCTAATGACAAAACAAATACATATATATATATATATTGTAGTCGATGCCGCTCACACAAATTGAGAATGGCAAAGGTGGCTTTAGCAAAAGTTCAGGAAAATCTTGACCCAGCAGAGCTGTCCTCTGACTTGGAAACCATAAGCAGTGAGGAGAGGTTTTTCGTAAAATGGGTCTGAGCATGAAACCATTTGTCAAAGGAAAAAAGTTTTGCAATCAAGTCAAAGCAGATTGCAATTTCGTTAGAGGCTGAGAGTGGTGGAGCGTTGGTATCAAGCAAATTCCAATTTTTTTTTTTTTTTTTTTTTTTTTTAATTTGTTGGAAAGCACATCTTAAGAGTGTTGATTCCTTGTTCCTCTCTTTATGCAGAGAAGTCCTCTCTGGTGATCATTAATAAATTAATCATTCTATGAATTGATACTAATGGTTGATGAATTTATTACAAAAAATATTTTACGGAGTCTGAAACAACAAAGGCTTTAGTTGAGAGTAGGATTGGCCTTTAAAGGAATTAAAATTTCAATCATTTGGGTTGTGGTTCCTCCTCCATGTTTGAGCTCAAATGTCCTTCGTATTGTTTCACTTGTTCTTCAATACCACCGTTGAAATATACCTTAAGGCCACACCTCTTCACATTGTAATTTTCCACATTGAAATCAAAAGTAACATACCGGATTTCTATTCGGCTCAAGTGATATGGAGAAAAATATGCCAGGATAACATGATCTGACGTAAGACTGTAGCATTTAAATGTAATCCATGGGTAAACTCATTCGTCACCTCCGTTTTACTACCATATTGGTCTATGATAATCAACTTACAAAGAACAAAAACAGATTCGGGAGTTTTTTCATGGTCTGGAAATGTTACAACAAGGCACACAATAAATTTGTGGAGGGGACCATTCCCAAGATAAACAAGTGGTAGGTCGAGAGTTATCGAAGATCCCACATGTTGGAAGCTCAACTACTCTGGAATTCTTCTCTGTAACTAGAAAATCATTTAACAGAAAATGTTAAAATATAAAATAAAAATCACTCATAAAGGAAAAGTAGACTATGGAAGTTATACCTTTTCCTCCGCGGCTTTGAGTATATTTCGAGCATTATCCAGTTTAAAACAATTACCAAAGTTGAGTTGCTGCACAAACAATAATTTTGAGTCAGAACATGACTCCAATGATGTACAATTGTATATGTGCTTCAAGCCATATAACTCTTGATAGAAGCTTTGGTAAGAATTTAAGTCTCTCACGATAGCTTATGTCCAGATATTGCAATTTAGAAAGTCGTTGGATGCTTGATGGTATTCATTCAAAATTGTTTATACTTTGATTTAACCATTGTAGAGAAGATAACTGGCCAAGACGGTCGGATAACCTCGTAATTTGACAATCAGATAAATCTAAATCCTTTAGAGATCTCAAAACTGATAAAATAAGCTACTCTGAATATGTTGATGCAGTGATACCTTGCTGGAAATGTATCAACTTTGTCGTTCAGCTGGTTTGTTTTTGGAAGGTTGCTGAAGATAACCTAGCGCAGTGGTCCAACGTGCATGGCTGGAGTTTTGCAATGTATTGTTGTTTAATGGCTTAAGGGTAATTAAGTTAACATTATGATGTGTATTGTGAATGTGACATTAGTTGTTAAGTTTGAATTGAAAAATGTGTAATATCTGCTGTAGTTGTTGAATAAGCAGAGAGTTGTTTAGCTGCTAATATATATGTTGATCTTTTTCAATGAAAATACAGAGAACTTTTGGCTATCATCTTTAGAGCTCTCTTTCATCTTTCCTTTGCATTCTCCGGACAAAAAACCAACAGAATTCATCAAATCCTGACACCTCTTTCCGCTTAAGCATAATGTTCGACGTTTGTTTAAAGATAAGATAGAATGTGGTTGTTCTCTTATGGCAGTGCAATTAGCTTTGAGTACAGACAAAGCTTCTAATTGTCCTAAGTTGTTGGGGAATCTATGGAGGTTTGAGCAACACGTGAGATTAAGGTACCAAAGAGTCACAAATGTCGCTTCGAAGACTTTCAATCCTTAAACAGTCTTCCAGATTCAAGAGTTTTAGTTTTGATGGATATTCAATCAAGGGCAACTTTGTTATAAATGTTCCACTCAAACATATTACACTCATGTTACATGTGATCTTTGGAGCCTTCATAAGATTTGAGCAACCAGAGAGAGCAAGATGTGTAAGAAATTTTGATTGAATGTCCGGGGGAAGATTGACAAGGCTTTTGCAACTTTTAAGATTCAAGTTAACTAACTTATTCAGATATTGAATTGGCGGATGAACCTTAATCAAACTTGTACAACCTTGTATAATAAGACTCTCAAGATTTGGGGCTGATGAGAGATTTGGAATTCTAATTACGTGCTTGGAGTGGATGAGGTTGATATGCTTCAACTTCTCTAAATGCTGCAAACAATAAATTAAGGAGATGAGGAAGTAACATAAATTATATGATTCGCTTCATGATTTTCTAAAAAAAAGAGAATATGAAGATAAATATTTATACCTGGAGCCCATTCCAGAGTTGTTTAATTTTACTACAAGACATGATATGTGCAAAAAGATTTTTCATCTCAAAATTTGATGGTACTGAGTCCAAATGATATCCAAACTAGCGAAAGCACCTTGTGTTAGATGAACTGAATTCTTGGCCTTGCAAAGCACGCACCTTATTCTCATTATCTTCGGCCAGTGTGCAATATGGACAATCAACATTTTGATCTCCGTTTATTGAGAAGCAATGGCAATAATAGTTAAACCATCTATTGTTGTCCTTGTGGCTGTAGCTACATCGACTTTTCTTGTCCGGGCAATAAAAAGTCCAAGAATCTGAGGTTTTGCATCTTCAAGAAAGCATTGTAGTTCAAGATTATCTCTTTTATTTTAGAGATATCCAAGTTGATGCATTCAATTGCTTCAGTTCCCTAACAATCAAATGACAATAAATTGGTATCTTAAATAAATGTCAAAGTCTACTATTACAACACATAGGTATAAAATTAAATTCTATTTTATTTTTCTTGGAATACATTGTTGTAAAACTCAAATGTAGACATGCCCCAAATCTAACTTAACCCTTCACTGTAGGATTTAATAAATTAACAAGTATAGAATGTAAACATACATGATGCATGGCAAATAATAATAAAAATAATAAATGGATGATGTTATCCAATTTATTAAAAAAAAAAAAAAAAAAAACGTAATTAGTTAGTCTCTCACAGTGTTTCTTCTTAACACATAATAAATATCATCATGATGCCATAATCTGCTACGTTTACTTAGGTCTTTAGATTCTTGCTGGACAATTTTCTCCCCCATTTTTTTGTAACAAATCATGTATTTATATAAATAGTGAATTAGTTATAAGAGACTTGTCAATGAGATTGCTTACTCCTATTTTGGAATCAAAACCGTCATCATCAAGGAGCTCTGGTGCAAGATTTATGTCAACTATTTTGAAAAAGCATGCAATATCTAGAAATATATTTTTCTCTTGATCTTCAAGTCCATCGTAACTTATTTTCAACACATCTTGGATCTTTGAATTTGGATTTTTTTCTAGGTTAAACAATGTACTTTCCCATCTTGAATTTGGCTTCTCAAATAGCAAAGAACCCAAAACTTTAAGAGCTAATGGAGCACCTAGAACAAAATTTATTACCTTTATTGATAGCTCCATGTAACCTGCAAGGGGATGATCCAGTTTAAATGCATGACGACTAAAAAGTATAAGAGTTTCATTAAATGGTAAACCCTCAACCTCATATATGTTAGCATGACTTACTCCATAAGTGTTAAGCACTTGTTTATCTCTTACTGTAATAATGACTTGACTTCCAGGACCTAAACATTCAAGATATCCAATTAACTTTTCTATTTGCTCTAAACATGTCACATCATCAAAAACAATAAAAGCTTTCTTATTGTGAAACCTGCTTTTGGTGAATGTGGACTCTAAAATAGCCCATTTATCTTCTAATATAGCAAAAGGAAGTTCTTGACTCAAATGAATTAATCCAAATTTTTCCAGACTCTTCCCTGACATTGTTTTGAAAGTAGACACACTCAAATTGACTTGAGATTTTGGTGAATAAAGCACTAGCAAGAGTTGTCTTGCTAATACAACCCAACACTGTTGCAAACATCTTATAACTCAAGACTTAATAGCGATTCTACTTTCGCTATTTTTTATTCTATCCCAACGAGGTGCTTGTTTTCACTTGGGGACATTTTATTCACTTTTTCCAATATTCCTTAGACAATTTTCTCTATTAACACAGTTTCAGTCCTAACAAAATATAAAACAATTTAGTAAGTTTAATTAAATCAAAATAGAAACAACAAAACTTTTTAATTACAATATCTATGCTAACAAAGCGTTTGAATTAAGAGAAAACAACATACATTGAAAGAACCATAACAACGAGTAAAATTCATAGTTTTGCATTTTTGTTTAGCTCATAAGAATGTCCAATTCAACTCAATTTCCACATACTCTACACTAGTTTAACACCACATTTATCTGTAATTAAATTTATTAAAATAAAAATCTAAACAGATTTCATTTTATTATTATTATTTTTAGTGTTTTTGTTATCTTATGATCCTATTTTGAGTCTTGCACTTTATTTTCCTTTCTGAAAATGTGGGTAGACTCGCTAAAGGTGAACACCTTCACAAGTGTGAGCACTTTAGCGCCTGTGTGCTCACAATGCATCTGACAAATATTTTTCCTAAATCACACTTCATGCACTCATTTTACTTTTTGGATAATATTATTCTTTGTTTATATTCTGTTTTGTGTCCTCTTTTTATTCGTTGTGTGAGAAAATGAATATTGCTTTTGTTTGCTGTCCCAAGTTTCTTGTGCAAAAAGAAAAATACAAAAGTCAATATTTAACTTTTTTGTCTCCCAACCCTTGATGCATTGATCTCTATATATTCATTCATTTCTAGCATTTTCTCTAAGGAATTTGATCGCAATTGTTTTCCTCTCTGAATATTCTCCGAGGTTCTCATTTTTACTTAAGGTTTCTTACTATGCTTTGTTAGGCTTAGAATTACTATCCTTACTTGTCCTTGTGTGAGATCTTTTGGATGTTGTTTCCTTTGTAATGAGAGCTTGTGCTGTTGTCCTGCCTTCATTGTCGAATCTTGAGAGGATGTAACACCCTCATTGAGGTGCGTTATTTATGTTCTAATGCCTTTAGTTTTACTTGTTGCAAGGTGAAAGATTGAAAACTTAGAATTTGCAGACTTTGCCGCAGCAAAGAAGTTTTGCTGTCGCGGCATTGTACACACTGCCCAATTCGTGTTTTAGAATTTGCATGCTTCACCGCGGCAAGGAAATAAGTTCGCCGCTGCAACGTACACTCTGGAATGCTTTGCCAAGGTGAAGGAACAATTTCATCGGGGCAATGAACTTATTGGAATTTTTGAGAAAATTCTGGAAAACTTCCTTAAGGGCAAAATCGTCATTCCACCCATAATTGGTTGAAAATGTGGGGAGTGAAAAATAGTAGAATTTCATGGAGAATGTTATGGAGATAAGTGTATTATTGTAATTGACTAAAGGGCAAAGATGAAATTTCATAGAAAGTACAAGGGCAAAATGGGAAAGTGTAAGTAAAATTATTTGATATTAAGGGTTCAAGAATTGAAACCCTACCATTCTCTACTCCCACACATGCCACCTTCATCCCCAATTCTCTCAATTTCTTCATCAAATTTCCAAGGAAATTTAGAGGATTTAGGTTAGATTTTGGTAGAATTTCAATCCTAAGCATCCAAAGGTAAGAATTCTTGCGATAGAATGTGAGATTAATCTTTAAAGTGTTGAATTCTTATAGTTTATATGCTTAGGGTTTAAGAGGAAGAGGAAGTCTACCAAAGAGAGAGATTTTAGTGTGGAACTACCTAAGTTCAAGGTAAGTAAATCCAACCCTAGCCATGATTTGAGCAATAATTTGTGTAGAGAAATTTTTATATGTATTTATATGCTTGAATGTTGAGGATTGTTGATGGAATGATGTTGGAGATGGTTAGAATTCCACCATAAGAAGTAGTGTTTAGTATGAGATGAATTGGTGGAAATTTGAAGAAGTTATGAATGAGTTAGAATAGAATTTTGAAGTGTGATTTTCCTGGCCAGGTTTGATGTTGCTTTTAGGGAGCTTTGCTCCAAATTTTGGTGGTTAGAGATTGTTATGGAGATGTAATCACCTTAGTGCTTTGTTTGTGCATACCAAGTGTTTGATAAAATTTCAAAGTGAGGTGTATGTATGAATATGATATCATGTTATATTGATATGAGTTGTAGATGGTAGAGAAAGTAGAGAATCACACGTTCACATGCCATATTGCATTCTTGCATTTAAACATTTGAATTTAGAAGAATAACAAGAAAAAGCCCATTTACATGCATACATGCATATAAGCACACTAAAGAACAAAGGGAAAGAAAGAAAATTGCTAAAGAAAATAAAAGAAATTGAATACTAATTTCTAAAAGAAAGATAAGAGAAAAGAAGGTTGTTACGATGGGGAGCCCGTGAGTGACAAGAAGAAGAATATTCCCACATGCACGTAGCCTTTAGTGAGCGGCCTAAGAATAAGAAAAAAGAATTTGTACAGTTCGTAAGAGTGCATGTGGATGAGGACTCTACCAAGAAGAGCATACCTACATGCACACTGCCTTTAGTGAGCGGCCTAAGAAGAAGAAAGAAGAATTTGCACAGTCCATAAGAAGTGCATGTAGATGAGGAATGTACTCACTCACACGGCCAGAGTTTCGAATCCATGCCTCAACCGAGTCCGATCAGCAAACAAGAAAAGAATAGAGAAGAAAGAATAGAAAAGAAGAAAGAAAGAAAAGAAAGAAAGAATAGAAAGAAAAGAAAGAATAGAAAGAAAGAAGGTTGTTAGGTGACAACCTGGTGCAACACATGGGTGTTTGTTGTAGGCAAGTTCCCTGGACTAACCCACTGGAGGATTCCATATAGATGGTAACCCTAGTGTCTATGGAATAAATCATTTAACGAATGGTAGTGAATGTGATCCTTAGACTTGAGATCACCAAAGCGCCTTGTGCACCGATTGGTGTAGTTTGACACTAGCCCAAAGCAATTCTATTTCGAGCTATCAATACGGTAGTGATTGGCTGCATCGAGGAGTGTATCAAGACTATGGTGGATCGATAGAGGATTCATCACTCTTGGGTATAGGAGAAGTTATCTCACGGCGCAATTTAGTAAATGACAATGACACTAAAATTGTGGCCACAGTGGGATTAAGTTGTTGCTCAATCTAATTATTATTGCTGTCATTGGTCTAGTAACTGAATACATATATATCGAGAGTAATTGAGGTTGACACTATTTCTATACCTCAGTCTCGATGAGATAACAGATGATGAAAGGATTAGATTGCACGGTAACCATATCGTTGACAGGTAGCTGCTTCGCTGAATCCGAATCTATCTGGTGGCCATAATGTCTTGCTAGGGGCCAATCTTGGTCTGTGTGTAGTGAAATGATTAATTGGTGTTAATTGCGATACTACGCACTACTGGTATGATGAGGAGCCTACGGGTCATACACATAGAAGATAATTTAAGAATCAGTTTGTGCAAGGGGCGCTTTAGGGTATTTTGGTAATCTCACAGTGCAATTAAATTTGCTGAGGTGGTTGCCTATATTTAATTTGATATTAAAATCAAATAAGTGAGATTATATTTAAATATATGTACACATACATTTAAATGGATTATTATTATTAATTAAATGTTAATGTATTTTTATAAATACATTAATTGAGTTTAATTGAAAATAATAATAATTAAAATTAAAATATCATGATTGGGAGTGTTTGGACATAGGGGTTGTTTCGGTTGAAGTCCAAGCCTATTCCTTATTGGAATAGGGTTTTATGTGCATTATATAAGTGCAATGTTATGTGAATAAAGTAAGGAATTCATTCAATCATTTTCTTTGAAAGAAAAGAAAAAACACACACAGCCCTCTCCCAAGTCTCACGCCACCCTTACTTTATTGAATCAAAGTTTCTTTGATTCTTGATTTGATTTTTGAAGCTAAAGAGGGTCTAGCAAATCCCTCTTTAGCTTTTTGGGTTATCTTCGTGTGGATTACAGCTGGTTCGGTTCTATTTTGAATCGGTAGCAAACCCAATCAGAGACAAGTTTGAAGGAGCCTCGAAACATGCGTATGAACTCTAAACTTTACTCTGATCATTCATGTTACTGTAGATTTTGATTTAACATATTATATGTATTATCTATACCTTGATCTTGGTTTAGAAAGGAATCGATCTGTGCTTGTTTTTGTTTTGTTTTCCGCTGCCATGGGTTAGATCATTTCCTTACAGTGGTATCAAAGCCTAGGGTACCAGATTTTACAGTTTAATGTATGATGTACAACATTTATTTGATTGATAACATGTTATTCTGTTAAATCTGCAAAATTTGTTTTTAAATGAATAATTCGATTGATCAATTGGTTTAATAATGTGTTGATGGATGTTATATTGGTTGGTTGGTGTCCTGATCGAATGGTTGCACGTTCGATTCAATTGGATACGTGTCGTTATGTGAAAAACTGCAAAAAACATGAATTGTGCGGTTCATTGATCTGTAGAGTTCGCCGCAGTGAAATAACACTTCGCCACGGCAAGAAGCGAAATAATGAATCTTGCCGCGGCGAAATAAAACTTTGACGCAGTGTTAGGCTGAAAAAGTAGATCTCGCTGTGCGAAATAAAACTACACTGCGGCAAGAATCTCTGTGGAATTTTTCAGAGTTTTCAGGAAATTCTGTTTCGCCGTGGCGAAATAAAACTTCACCGTGGCAATAAAGTCCCTGTCCCATTTTTTTGTTTTTCGTGAAAGGACCAAACTACAATTTTTAGAACCTATAAAGCCAATAAGCATTCTACACATTTAAGAGGGTAATTTAATAATTTCACCCACCCAATTCAAAAATTGATGTTTTTGAATTTATGCAATGTACTTGTTTGAATATTGCATGGTGCT